AATAAAAATTCCTTTTAAGTACTGTAATAATAAATTCCGGGTACATGTATTTTTCACAAAATGGTTAGAATGTGTGACATGAAATAAACTGTGTACAACAAATTAAATAACTATATTAGTTCTCTTTCCTTATCTAATTGGTAATAATAGTAATGTTTCTCTTGTTTACGTAATCTGATTTCTCCAATATCTAGATATCAACTCAAAATGTAGCTATATGAATTCTTTGTACATACTATAATTATCTAGATCTTGTCCTTTTTAGAAGATAATTAACTGTGTCACATATCTTGTGTTGGAGTGTATCCCAATTCAGTTTCTATTTTATACCTTCATTACATTTGCAGTATTTGTGTAAAAAATATGAAAATAAACCTTAACCTTTCAGGGTTGCTAGTGTTTTCAGCTAACACTAAATCTTCTACCACTGAATCAGACCTATGTATATCATTATATATGTATAAACTGTTTAATACACTGACCGACATGCAATAAAGAAAATTTCTATTGTTCATGTAATTCAAATGTAGTTAACACAGGTAACCTGAATCATCAGGTAGTTAATTGAGTACTGTATTTTTAGATAACCTAAAACTTAATCATAGGAACACTATGGCTGTGATTGTGATTGCAAATATTTTGATTAATACAGAAACTAATTTTCAATCAGTTTTCCTGAAATACCAGTTCCTTTTTTGTACATGGATCCATTGTTAGGTATTATTTTTTTTAATTATTTATGTGATATATCAGTTTCACAAAATACCATACTTTGAAAATGAATTCATTCAGATTAGAATTCATATGAAAACTTTAAACAAAAACAATCTAATATCAGATGTACTGTGTACTGTAATATCAGATGTACTGATCACACATCAGTCAAGTAAATATTATCTTACTTAAACACTAATATCTAATCTACTTGTAAACCATCAACAATTAACAACCAAAAAAATCTCAAATTTAAGTTTTACTAATTGAAAAGCAAACATGTTAATATTCAAATAAAAAAAATGAAATTCTGTCAAATCAATTTTTTGGTCCCATAACCTCCTGATTCAGATCAACATAAAATAATATCAAAAACACAGCACTAAATAAAACAAACACATGGACTAGCTAACTGTGCATACTATAAGCAATGATTGGGGGTCCACTACTTGTAAGTAATTGTATCTACCTGGTAAATAAGGGACCAATACAGGTAAGTAATTGTATCTACCTTGTAAACAAAGGTCCATCACAGGTAAGTAATTGTATCTACCTTGTAAATAAGGGACCAATACAGGTAAGTAATTGTATCTACCTGGTAAATAAGGGACCAATACAGGTAAGTAATTGTAGCTACCTTGTAAATAAGGGTCAGCTACAGGTAAGTAATTGTATCTACCTTGTAAACAACGGAACAATACAGGTAAGTAATTGTATCTACATTGTAAATAAGGGACCAATACAGGTAAGTAATTGTATCTACCTTGTAAATAAGGATCAGCTACAGGTAAGTAATTGTATCTACCTTGTAAACAACGGAACAATACAGGTAAGTAATTGTATCTACATTGTAAATAAGGGACCAATACAGGTAAGTAATTGTATCTACCTTGTAAATAAGGGCCTGCTACAGGATCCTTTCATAACTGTGATGGAGATCCCAGAATTTTGGGTCTGATTTCAGCCAAAAAATCATCATCAACCATCTGATATAACGGTACTTTTTTGTGGTTTAGAGTAGGGAACGGTGCAATCTCTACCAATGAAGTTATATAAAGTTTGTGAGTAAGCATTAGTAAGGAGAATCAGGTAAAACTTGTTACATGTAAGTTACTACCAGGAATTCCTTTGTGAATTGACAAAGAGATCAATGAATCCTAGGTGTAGGACTGTGAGGAGTCTACTGACAACGGAATGGACCAGGATTCATTTAACGTTCGCAGGGACTTTATATATAAAATATACCTACCCAGATTGATACAAACTCTATAAAATAAATAGACCAACATACTATCTAAAATCCATTTTTTATCCTTCACAGTGATTCTTGCACCGAATTACCAATAACGACTGCCTTATACTGAATAGCCAATCACAAAGATTGTCTTATACTGAACAGCCAATTACAATGACATTCTATTCATTGACTATTCATAAGAAATGATAATACCAACCAAATACAAGAAAGAATATCAACAAACTGTATCATCAATCTCATAAACAACTCTTGATGAAGGACAAATGTGACCTGACATTTCCATTTTGTTACTTACAACTAATTTTAACTTAGGTATGATTTTTTTTACTTTAAATTGCCATCAATATAACTTAAAAAAATCACAAAGTAAAGGAATTCATAATTATTGAAATTCTGACACCATGACAAACAATCATATAACATTATAAAATGAATACATGTTATCATTTCAGATTATCAATTCTGGTTTAAAACTCAGTATAGTTAAAACTTTATCCTTAACTTAGATTTAAACTTCACAACCTGGTTTAACCTATCAATATATTTCAAAATCTGATGTATAATATTATGCATTGGTATACAATGTACATATCTGTTTCTTTATCTTAATCAGTAAACATTATGCAAGATCCTATCAAAATACAAATCATTACAATATTTTAGGAAAAGTGTCAATAAAATCTAAGAAATAAACAACAAAATTGTTTAAAAACTTCTGTGTACATCAAAAACTCAAAATACTTTATAGAGTTTATAATTCAATGTTATAAATTCATCAAAATTTATTAATCAATAAGTTACAAATTTATAATTAAAAAAAAGAAATACATTGTAAAACAATCAATACTACAGGAATATCAAAGGTATCCGAGAGCACTACAAACAGGTGCTTTCGACTCCCTATCCAATAAATTTGATTGTTAAATATTTGAAATATGTGGTAGCGAGTGCCATGTCTTAATACATGTATATAAAGGTTTAAATTGAATATATACTGTAATTGATATGGTATACCATAATATATATACACTTCTATTCGACAGGCATATGATAAAGTACCATCTGCAGAATTACTTTTTTTCATAATTACTCGGACCATTCAGTAGATGACAAACATATTTCTTAAGATCAAAAATGATGGACACTAATATTTAAGTTTAACAAAATGTTTTGAAATGTTTTAGTCAGTACCTATTATTCATTATGGATGTTTTTGTTGATGGATCCAAAGAACCAAATATATTTCCTGATATTAAATAATTTTTTCACAAGCAAGCCACACTAATCTGGTGGATATGCTTCAGTACACACAAAACACTATCTGAAACTTGCTGTATTATATCATTCAGGAATCCTAATTTTCTATTTAAATGTACTGACAAATTAAATTTTTATCTATTTGCTGAACTGATCACATGTACTAAATGACCTACACCCTTAATACTCAGAAGACTTTCCTTATTGCCCAGATTTCTCCCAGACTACAAGAAGTTAATCAGTTTAAATTCTACCAATCTAGTGCCTTGTCTGTCTGGTGACTTTCTGGAAGTAAATAAATTTGTTACCAGTAAAGGCAAGCCCTGACCAAAGCCATGGCAAACATTTAATTAACTTATCAATATTTCTGTTCTTAAACTGATATGGATTTCTATCTGCTGTCAGAAAGGCCCTTCAGCTTAAAGAAGAGGTATGAATGCAATCAGCAAACCAAACATTTTTATATGTATTAACACAAATATTTAATCAGAGAAAATAAACAGATAAATGATATCAACTATGATTCTGCAGCTTCAGCACAGAGTTTAAAGCTCACAACCTTCAGTATTAAATGATGTATAAACAACAGAAACATTATCTCTAAAACAGCACAATATTATTGCTTGTAGTCAAGTCAGCACAATTTAAGACATGGATAAAATCAATTAGGCAAAGCCTTTATTTCCCTGGATTTCTACAGATACCCTGTATGGAAGCCTCTACTGACTAAAATGTTGCCAGTAGAAGTGATAGCAGAAATAATCAGTAAAGGTTGGTTGTAGAAAATAATTACCACAAATAAGATCAATAAAACAAGGATTTCAGACTTCGCAGCACCTAAGAGATTATATATATAGTCATTGTATCATAATTCTTACTGTTTATCTCCAAGTGACTGATTTGATAAGAAGGAAAATGGAATATAGCAAAAAAAAACTGTAAATAAGTATGTGTATATGTATGATAAAATGATCACCAATTAACCCTTCAAGTGATAAAATAGTTATCACCAACATTTAACTTTAAAGATTAAGGTACAAGGTATAGAGGGAAGTATGTCTATTTCTTTCCGATGTCACTTGGTTAAAAATTTGTTTGCCTCTAAGGGACCCTAAAAAGGATCTAACCCCTTTCTATTCTAAATCTGTCAGTGGTTCTTAAGAAGAAAATACAATACACAATGCAGTACGATATTAATACACCGTACTCAGACATACTCCCATTATAGAGCTGAAAAAATACACCGTACTCAGACATAACCCCATTATAGAGCTGAAAAGATGCTACTGGGAAGACACTGGATAGACAGATGACAGACATTGTCTTATTAGTTCATAGGCAATGAGCTAGACTGGCTAATATAACAGTTATCAGCAGGGTCCAAAGTCAATGCATAGAAGATAAAGTCATTTAACACTGCCCTACACCATCAGTGATTTTTTTTAATAAATCACTTTACTAATTAAATAAAAAAAAATAGGATCATACCTAATGCCGTAGAGAAGCGTTTGCTACAGATCATGAAACTTAATTAAAAATTATTTCAGAAATAAAAAATGTCAAAATAACTGAGAAATTGCTGGTTTTTGTCAACAAATATTTCTTCAAACTTTTCAGTAATATTTTCCTGAATGTATTGTGTAATGGTTACCAGAACATGATTGATATGAATTTTGACATCTTATAACATTCTCACAAATGAATCTATTATACCCAAACACTGTTGTCTGCACATCAATCCTTATTTTGACAATCACTTTTGTTGTTGTTGCTATACCACCTTGTGAACACGAAATGTCTTGTTACTCATGACTGGTTTGAATAGCTTCGTGAAACGAGTTCCATTGTACCTGATTTCATCACAAAATCTCGCCACTTTACTTCGGATAAGTCCAGGCTCCATCTTACCATTACTGGCATCAGGAAGCTGAAAAATAAACACAGACACAGGTCAGAGATCTTGATAGCTCCGTATATCTACAAATGTAGGGAAGAACCTAAATCTATTCTAAAGGTCAATTTCTAGAACTGGTACAGTCACAGATGTCAGAGTCGTGTGTATCAATGGTGAAAGTAAGAAACAATTATTATCCAAGATGGCTGATACTAATGAACACGGGACTGTCCACTAATAAGTTCTCCAACCTCACCAATACTAATAAGTTCTCCAACCCCACCAATACTAATATGTTCCCCAAACCCACCAATACTAATAAGTTCTCCAACCCCACCAATACTAATATGTTTCCCAACCCCACCAATACTAATAAGTTCTCCAACCCCACCAATACTAATAAGTTCTCCAACCCCACCAATACTAATAAGTTCTCCAACCCCACCAATACTAATAAGTTCTCCAACCCCACCAATACTAATAAGTTCTCCAACCCCACCAATACTAATAAGTTCTCCAACCCCACCAATACTAATAAGTTCTCCAACCCCACCAATACTAATAAGTTCTCCAACCCCACCAATACTAATATGTTCTCCAACCCCACCAATACTAATAAGTTCTCCAACCCCACCAATACTAATAAGTTCTCCAACCCCACCAATACTAATATGTTTCCCAACCCCACCAATACTAATAAGTTCTCCAACCCCACCAATACTAATAAGTTCTCCAACCCCACCAATACTAATAAGTTCTCCAACCCCACCAATACTAATAAGTTCTCCAATACTAGTAAGTTCTCCAACCCCACCAATACTAATATGTTTCCCAACCCCACCAATACTAATAAGTTCTCCAACCCCACCAATACTAATAAGTTCTCCAACCCCACCAATACTAATAAGTTCTCCACCCCCACCAATACTACTATGTTTCCCACCCCCACCAATACTAATAAGTTCTCCAACCCCACCAATACTAATAAGTTCTCCAACCCCACCAATACTAATAAGTTCTCCAACCCCACCAATACTAATAAGTTCTCCAACCCCACCAATACTAATATGTTTCCCAACCCCACCAATACTAATAAGTTCTCCAACCCCACCAATACTAATAAGTTCTCCAACCCCACCAATACTAATAAGTTATCCAACCCCACCAATACTAATAAGTTCTCCAACCCCACCAATACTAATAAGTTCTCCAACCCCACCAATACTAATAAGTTCTCCAACCCCACCAATACTAATAAGTTCTCCAACCCCACCAATACTAATAAGTTCTCCAACCCCACCAATACTAATATGTTTCCCAACCCCACCAATACTAATATGTTTCCCAACCCCACCAATACTAATATGTTTCCCAACCCCACCAATACTAATATGTTTCCCAACCCCACCAATACTAATAAGTTCTCCAACCCCACCAATACTAATAAGTTCTCCAACCCCACCAATACTAATAAGTTCTCCAACCCCACCAATACTAATAAGTTCTCCAACCCCACCAATACTAATAAGTTCTCCAACCCCACCAATACTAATAAGTTCTCCAACCCCACCAATAATAATAAGTACTCCAACCCCAACAATACTAATATGTTTCCCAACCCCACCAATACTAATATGTTTCCCAACCCCAGCAATACTAAAAAGTTCTCCAACCCCACCAATACTAATAAGTTCTCCAACCCCACCAATACTAATAAGTTCTCCAACCCCACCAATAATAATAAGTTCCCAACCCCACCAATACTAATAAGTTCTCCAACCCCACCAATACTAATAAGTTCTCCAACCCCATCAATACTAATTAGTTCTCCAACCCCACCAACTACTCCAACCCCACCAATACTAATAAGTTCTCCAACCCCACCAATACTAATAAGTTTCCCAACCCCACCAATACAATAAAGTTCTCCAACCCCACCAATACTAATATGTTTACTAATAAGTTCCCAACCCCACCAATACTAATAAGTTCTCCAACCCCACCAATACTAATAAGTTCTCCAACCCCACCAATACTAATAAGTTCTCCAACCCCACCAATACTAATAAGTTCTCCAACCCCACCAATACTAATAAGTTCTCCAACCCCACCAATACTAATAAGTTCTCCAACCCCACCAATACTAATAAGTTCTCCAACCCCACCAATACTAATATGTTCTCCAACCCCACCAATACTAATAAGTTCTCCAACCCCACCAATACTAATAAGTTCTCCAACCCCACCAATACTAATAAGTTCTCCAACCCCACCAATACTAATAAGTTCTCCAACCCCACCAATACTAATAAGTTCTCCAACCCCACCAATACTAATATGTTTCCCAACCCCACCAATACTAATAAGTTCTCCAACCCCACCAATACTAATAAATTCTCCAACCCCACCAATACTAATAAGTTCTCCAACCCCACCAATACTAATAAGTTCTCCAACCCCACCAATACTAATAAGTTCTCCAACCCCACCAATACTAATAAGTTCTCCAACCCCACCAATACTAATAAGTTCTCCAACCCCACCAATACTAATATGTTTCCCAACCCCACCAATACTAATAAGTTCTCCAACCCCACCAATACTAATAAGTTCTCCAACCCCACCAATACTAATAAGTTCTCCAACCCCACCAATACTAATATGTTTCCCAACCCCACCAATACTAATAAGTTCTCCAACCCCACCAATACTAATAAGTTCTCCAACCCCACCAATACTAGTAAGTTCTCGAACCCCACCAATACTAATATGTTTCCCAACCCCACCAATACTAATAAGTTCTCCAACCCCACCAATACTAATAAGTTCTCCAACCCCACCAATACTAATAAGTTCTCCAACCCCACCAATACTAATAAGTTCTCCAACCCCACCAATACTAATATGTTTCCCAACCCCACCAATACTAATAAGTTCTCCAACCCCACCAATACTAATAAGTTCTCCAACCCCACCAATACTAATAAGTTACTAAAAAGTTCTCCAACCCCACCAATACTAATAAGTTCTCCAACCCCACCAATACTAGTAAGTTCCCTAACCCCACCAATACTAATAAGTTCTCCAACCCCACCAATACTAATATGTTTCCCAACCCCACCAATACTAATAAGTTCTCCAACCCCACCAATACTAATAAGTTCTCCAATCCCACCAATACTAATAAGTTCTCCAACCCCACCAATACTAATAAGTTCTCCAACCCCACCAATACTAATAAGTTCTCCAACCCCACCAATACTAATAAGTTCTCCAACCCCACCAATACTAATAAGTTCCCAACCCCACCAATACTAATAAGTTCTCCAACCCCACCAATACTAATAAGTTCCCTAACCCCACCAATACTAATAAGTTCTCCAACCCCACCAATACTAATAAGTTTCCAACCCCACCAATACTAATAAGTAAACCCCACCAATACTAATATGTTCTCCAACCCCACCAATACTTTCCCAACCCCACCAATACTAATAAGTTCTCCAACCCCACCAATACTAATAAGTTCTCCAATACTAATAAGTTCTCCAACCCCACCAATACTAATAAGTTCTCCAACCCCACCAATACTAATATGTTTCCCAACCCCACCAATACTAATAAGTTTCCCAACCCCACCAATACTAATAAGTTCTCCAACCCCACCAATACTAATAAGTTCTCCAACCCCACCAATACTAATAAGTTCTCCAACCCCACCAATACTAATAAGTTCTCCAACCCCACCAATACTAATAAGTTCTCCAACCCCACCAATACTAATAAGTTCCCAACCCCACCAATACTAATAAGTTCAATACCAATACTAATAAGTTCTCCAACCCCACCAATACTAATAAGTTCTCCAACCCCACCAATACTAATAAGTTCTCCAACCCACCAATACTAATAAGTTCTCCAACCCCACCAATACTAATAAGTTTCCCCAACCCCACCAATACTAATAAGTTCTCCAACCCCACCAATACTAATAAGTCCTCCAACCCCACCAATACTAATAAGTTCTCCAACCCCACCAATACTAATAAGTTCTCCAACCCCACCAATACTAATAAGTTCTCCAACCCCACCAATACTAATAAGTTAACCAACCCCACCAATACTAATAAGTTCTCCAACCCCACCAATACTAATAAGTTCCAACCCCAACCCCACCAATACTAATAAGTTCTCCAACCCCACCAATACTAATAAGTTCTCCAACCCCACCAATACTAATAAGTTCTCCAACCCCAACAATACTAATAAGTTCTCCAACCCCACCAATACTAATAAGTTCTCCAACCCCACCAATACTAATAAGTTCTCCAATCCCACCAATACTAATAAGTTCTCCAACCCCACCAATACTAATATGTTATCCAACCCCACCAATACTAATAAGTTCTCCAACCCCACCAATACTAATAAGTTCTCCAACCCCACCAATACTAATAAGTTCTCCAACCCCACCAATACTAATAAGTTCTCCAAATACCCCACCAATACTAATACCAATACTAATAAGTTCTCCAACCCCACCAATACTAATAAGTTCTCCAACCCCACCAATACTAATAAGTTCTCCAACCCCACCAATACTAATAAGTTCTCCAACCCCACCAATACTAATAAGTTCTCCAACCCCACCAATACTAATAAGTTCTCCAACCCCACCAATACTAATAAGTTCTCCAACCTCACCAATACTAATAAGTTCTCCAACCTCACCAATACTAATAAGTTCTCCAACCTCACCAATACTAATAAGTTCTCCAACCTCACCAATACTAATAAGTTCTCCAACCCCACCAATACTAATATGTTCCCCAACCCCACCAATACTAATAAGTTCTCCAACCCCACCAATACTAATAAGTTCTCCAACCCCACCAATACTAATAAGTTCTCCAACCCCACCAATACTAATAAGTTCTCCAACCCCACCAATACTAATATGTTCCCCAAACCCACCAATACTAATAAGTTCTCCAACCCCACCAATACTAATAAGTTAACCAACCCCACCAATACTAATAAGTTCAACCCCACCAATACTAATAAGTTCTCCAACCCCACCAATACTAATAAGTTCTCCAACCCCACCAATACTAATAAGTTCTCCAACCCCACCAATACTAATAAGTTCTCCAACCCCACCAATACTAATAAGTTCTCCAACCCCACCAATACTAATAAATTCTCCAACCCCACCAATACTAATAAGTTCTCCAACCCCACCAATACTAATAAGTTCTCCAACCCCACCAATACTAATAAGTTCTCCAACCCCACCAATACTAATAAGTTCTCCAACCCCACCAATACTAATAAGTTCTCCAACCCCACCAATACTAATAAGTTCTCCAACCCCACCAATACTAATAAGTTCTCCAACCCCACCAATACTAATAAGTTCTCCAACCCCACCAATACTAATAAGTTCTCCAACACCACCAATACTAATAAGTTCTCCAACCCCACCAATACTAATAAGTTCTCCAACCCCACCAATACTAATAAGTTCTCCAACCCCACCAATACTAATAAGTTCTCCAACCCCACCAATACTAATAAGTTCTCCAACCCCACCAATACTAATAACCCCACCAATACTAATAAGTTCTCCAACCCCACCAATACTAATAAGTTCTCCAACCCCACCAATACTAATAAGTTCTCCAACCCCACCAATACTAATAAGTTCTCCAACCCCACCAATACTAATAAGTTCTCCAACCCCACCAATACTACTTAGTTCTCCAACCCCACCAATACTAATAAGTTCTCCAACCCCACCAATACTAATAAGTTCTCCCAACCCCACCAATACTAATATGTTCTCCAACCCCACCAATACTAATAAGTTCTCCAACCCCACCAATACTAATAAGTTCTCCAACCCCACCAATACTAATAAGTTCTCCAACCCCACCAATACTAATAAGTTCTCCAACCCCACCAATACTAATAAGTTCTAATAAGTTCCCAACCCCACCAATACTAATAAGTTCTCCAACCCCACCAATACTAATAAGTTCTCCAACCCCACCAATACTAATAAGTTCTCCAACCCCACCAATACTAATAAGTTCTCCAACCCCACCAATACTAATAAGTTCTCCAACCCCACCAATACTAATAAGTTCTCCAACCCCACCAATACTAATAAGTTCTCCAACCCCACCAATACTAATAAGTTCTCCAACCCCACCAATACTAATAAGTTCTCCAACCCCACCAATACTAATAAGTTCTCCAACCCCACCAATACTAATAAGTTCCCTAACCCCACCAATACTAATAAGTTCTCCAACCCCACCAATACTAATAAGTTCTCCAACCCCACCAATACTAATAAGTTCTCCAACCCCACCAATACTAATAAGTTCTCCAACCCCACCAATACTAATATGTTTCCCAACCCCACCAATACTAATAAGTTCTCCAACCCCACCAATACTAATAAGTTCTCCAACCCCACCAATACTAATATGTTTCCCAACCCCACCAATACTAATATGTTTCCCAACCCCACCAATACTAATAAGTTCTCCAACCCCACCAATACTAATAAGTTCTCCAACCCCACCAATACTAATAAGTTCTCCAACCCCATTAATACTTTTGGTCAACCTGTTTTCATTGATGAAGTGGATTATTTGTAGTGAAATATTATAACCTAATCTCCTGAGTTATGGGATACTTACATGGCCATTATGAAAGTCCATTAAATCAGGGGTTCGACATCCATTTTTTGATGGAGCTAAACAAATACTGTCCTCCAGAATTATATAACTAGATTTATACTTCTTCAGTAGTTTGTGTACATCTTCTGGTGTTTTTCTAGCATAGATTTGATAAAGCTGCAACAAAAAGAAGGGGAAGTCACAAAGCTGTAATCATAGTGTTTCATCAACTTGGCATAAAATTTAATCTTATACCACAACCAGTTAGAAAATTATACATGACATTTCAGTAATTACACTGTCAGCATAGTCACCAAAATGTCACATATTATTTTCCAACTGGTTGTGATATAATAAATTCTTAATATATGTTACCAACTTGAAGAAAATGTTTGGAGATCAGATTTAAATATTTTAGTAATTTATCACAAGATACATTTACCACACATGATTCAATCCTCTATGAAACCAGCATTTTCATTGGCTAATATTTTTATGTTATCACTCTTAACATAAAACAAGAGATCCCTTTGGGATCTTGGAAATCATCATTGCATGATCTTTAATGTTTTTTTTTTTTTATTTTTACTTCTCTCCCCTTGTCCTCTTAATAATTTGAGAACATGGGAATCCCACATATGAAATTTAAGAATGTTCAATAAGAGCTTTTGGAGAAATATAAAAAAAACCAAACTTCATCTATCAAAATCCAAAATGATATCAGTCAGCCATATTGTTTTCTTGAGCAGACACAATGCCATGGAAACAACATGGGACCAAGAGGGACCTACACATCAAATTAAGAAATATCTCTCCAGTACTTCTCAAGAAAGAGTGATAACAAACTTCAACAATCAAAATCTATGTCTGCTGCCAGTTGGCCATTCTGTTTCACTGATCAGCCTCAAAATTACATCAGCACACCAGTGGACAATGGGAAACCTACAAATTAAGCTGGAACAAATATCCCTCAAATTTTCATTGTCAAAATCTAATATGGCCAATTGTCTGCCATTCTGTTCTTCTGATTATTCCAAAAATCAAAGGAGCACAACTAGGGACCAAGAGAACCTTCATATGAAATTTGTGAAATATCCATTCAGTATTTTCCAAGAAATAGCAATAACAATCTTTCATTATCAAAATCCAAGATGGCCACCTTTCAGCCATTTTGTCTCATAAGTCCCCAAATCAAAAGGACACGACAAGGAACAAAGAAGAAGCTACATTTGATATCTAAGACAGATCCATCCAGTACTTCACAAAATACTGTTTACTGATGAACAGACAGACCAATGACACAGAGCCATTTGAAAAACATACCAATTGATGATGATGAGCTATCAAGACAGAAAAAAACAGATAACATATGAAACATTTCATTTGTTTATCAATATTTGGGTTGATTTTGCCAAAACAAATCATTTTTATCAATTTAGAGACCTCACATAATAGTAACACACATGAATTATAGCCAAGTGAGTATGGATCAATAAAGAATTTGTCAGCCCTATTGACAATATTTTACCGTATGTTAAGTTTTTGCTGAAGTTTAATTAATTTACAACAAATTTCTGTGTGCTTACTCTCACCATACCAAACTTTTGATTGTTGACAAAAACCTTATCATACTAACATCTTTAGTTTTGTCTCGTAGATGTTTGTCCTCATAGTGGGGATGGTTTGTGATAGGGCGACCAGTACATAACTTAACTCCGGCCAGTAACTGCATACTTCCTGTAAACGCTGCCTTTTTAGGGGTCTCTTTTCTGTAAGAATGGCGAACATGTTTATATTATTGATCATAATATATTTAGCAACAAAATATTCAGGGCACCCCTGTCTTCCTATAGTGACTGAGCTTAAGAGACATTTTCCCTATTGGAGTCAATGGAAATAGGTACCTGGGGTAGGCTGGCATTGTTCAAGTGTAGCATAATGATAGGCATAGGCTTGTATATTAAAAGGATGACATTTATAGGAATAGGCTAGTATTTTACCAGGGAGATACTGATACAAACAGGTCAGTATTTCATCAGGGTTACACTATGACATGAAAAGGCTAGAGATTCAACAGGGTGAAATTCCAATAGCAGCAAGGCAGCATTTTATCAGGGTGATACTGACAGGAACAGGCTAGTATTTTACCAGGGTGATACGGATAGGAACAGCTAGTATTTTACCAGGGTGATACTGATAGGAACAGCTAGTGTTTTACCAGGGTGATACTTATAGGAACAGGCGAGTATTTTACCAGGGTGATACTGACAGGAACAGGCTAGTATTTTACCAGGGTGATACTGACAGGAACAGGCTAGTATTTTACCAGGGTGATACTGATAGGAACAGGCAAGTATTTTACCGGGGTGATACTGATAGGAACAGGCTAGTATTTTACCAGGGTGACACCGACAGGAACAGGCTAGTATTTTACCAGGGTGATACTGATGGGAACAGCTAGCATTTTACCAGGGTGACACAGATAGGAACAGGCAAGTATTTTACCAGGGTGATACTGATAGGAACAGCTAGTATTTTACCAGGGTGATACTAATAGAAACAGGCTAGTATTTTACCAGGATGATACTTATAGGAACAGCTAGTATTTTACCAGGGTGATACTGATGGGAACAGCTAGCATTTTACCAGGGTGACACAGATAGGAACAGGCAAGTATTTTACCAGGGTGATACTGATAGGAACAGGCTAGTATTTAAACAGGGTGATACTGATAGAAACAGGCAAGTATTTTACCAGGGCGATACATGTAGAAACAGGCTAGTATTTAATCAGGGTGATACTGATAGAGACAGGCTAGTATTTTACTACTCTGATTGACACTAACTTAATCCACTCCATGAGCTGAACAGTATCTGGGTCCCAGAATTCTTTAAGGTCTTCTAGTTCTTTGAAAACAGGAGGAAGAGCCTGAAACATAAACAAAAGAAGTATTTAGATACAAAATTTATTTTGAAGCATTTCCTTCAGGTTGGTTCAACTATTGGGTAAATTCATAAATAGACTTTTATATGGTACAACCAGCAATGTTCATCTGACAACTGACAAACAATATGTTCAATAACAACCAACTTGACAGCTCAGCGAAGCTATACATTAATCATACATACACTTAGTGGTAAATATTTTACAAAATAGATATTAAACTGTAATAATAAAGTGGTGATACCGAAAATGACAATTCAGTTGAAATCAAAATATAATTAATGAAATGTATTTTTACCACAGTTTGATTATCATCTTGTACAATGTTTACAATCAATTGTATTTGTCATCTACGTGGCTTATTGTCAATAATATACAATAATACTATAAATGTTCCCTTGAGTGGAAATCCAGGTGAGTACTCACTAGTGCTAACAAGGCAGCTAGGACAATCAGAGTGGCCAAATGTCGTACGATCTGCACCTGTAGAAAAAAATTAATCATTCATTATTTTCAAAGTAAGAGCACAACTGACTCTGTTATATTTATCAATAATTGTCAGTAAATATCTCCTCTTCTTGATCTTTCTGTTATATTTATCAATAATTGTCAGTAAATATCTCCTCTTCTTGATCTTTCTGTTATATTTATCAATAATTGTCAGTAAATATCTCCTCTTCTTGATCTTTCTGTTATATTTATCAATAATTGTCAGTAAATATCTCCTCTTTTTGATCTTTCTGGTCTCAGATATATCATTTCATTCTGAGAATTTCATTAAAGTCAGAAACTCGAAAATATCCATAAGAAGTGAATGCTCTCACCACCATATAAGTAACCGTGTTTGAAAAATTTCCATAAATTGTCAAATGTGATCTTTGACCTTATAACTTTGACTGATGTCCACTTTAATGTGATAAGGTGTAGAACTTGGTGCTAGAAAAATATAGGATAAATTGGAACTAAAGCTGTGTTGAGGGGTTCTGAAGATATGACACTGATTTGAATGTGACAGACTTACATGGATGACACCATAAGCCCCACACCTCCTTACCCTTTGTAAAATGTTGGACGTACACAAAAGATTGAAGATTTTTCCAATAGTGTATAACACTGCAGTGTCTTGACAGTAAAAAAATGCTACTGTATTGTAAATCATTGTACATTCATGGTAAAGTTTGCCCCAAACAAACTGACAAATAGAAACAAATCAGGATCACATTTTACCTTTAGTACAATTCTAAAACCAGGTTTCGTGAAAGAATATTTAAACGAAAATTCAATATGTACATAATTTGAAGTGATGAGTGAATTATAGTTCTAACACCATATTTCATGGGCGTATATTCAAGAATGAGAGAAAAATCAGCAATGGTTACTATAGTGGTTGTCTAGTGTGTAATGTAGATATTTCTCTATTCCCCCCTCCCCCCTGCCTACAAGCCAGACAGAAGCTTACATATACAATTTGAAGTATGAGCGACACAGTCTGAACTGTAATAATTACATCTGATCTCTACATATAGCCCCCGAGGCCAAACAATCTAAATATGGTAAACCAGTAGTTCCTGTCTGGAGGCGAGCAGACTGTCTATAACAAAAGTCCTACTGATCCTCCTGAAGTCTCCTACCCCAGTAATATAATTATACAGTCTTATCACAGCAATAAACACGTGTTGTAAGCAAGCAAATCGCTAACAATACTTGTTATCTGATGTAAGCGTCTGGTAAAATTGTCTTCATTACAACAAACACCAGTCAGGAAATTTAACCCTTCACACAATGTACACTGTGCATACATTTATCACCTGATCCTTTACCTACACTAAAATTGTAAGTGATCCCTGCATCTAATTTGTCAGAACTCTAACTTTTGAAAAAAATGTGGCCAGTGATAAAAGATCGTCCTTAATCTAACAATGATTAAGATATTTAGTATATGTCTATAGTGATAGATCATAAGTAAACCTTTGGCTTATCAAACAAGTCAGAGTGAACCTGTCAAACAAACCACATCAGTACATTAACCATACAAATAGATATCAAGATTGAATTATTGTTACCATCACAACAACTGGATATTTACCACACAAATAGATGGGAAGAACAAAAGAAATGTTTCCAACACAACATTTGGACAGTTACCACACAAAAAGAAATCACATGGGTATTGTCTAAGATAAGCTTACACAAACAAAAAAGTGAGCAATCTTCAACATAAACCAAACAGAAGATTAGAGAGTCATCAAATCTTTTAAACAATTAACATACGGTTGACTTTTCCAGAATCTCTAAGTGATCTTTATAATGTCTGACCAGACGGGTGATTTCAGTCCTCAGAAGATATATTGATTTTGCAGCTGATGCTGTGAGACACCTTATCCATACTTAAACAAGACATATAATAGGCTTCCTTGTCATTACATCCGCACCTCATTCAAGTTTTCATTATTGAATCGAAGACCAGAAACAAATGTCACTGGCTGTCTTACATTTTCTCTGCCCACAGAGATGTAATACCACTCCAAGGCCTTATACTTCCCGTCAACTCAGACATGGTGACCATACTACCCCAAGGTCTCTTTCTTTCCGTCTACCCAGACATGGTGACCATACCACCCCAAGGCCTTATACTTCCCATCTACCCAGACATGGTGACCATACCATCACAAGGCCTTACACTTCCCTTCTACCTCGACATGGTGACCATACCATCCAAAGGTCTCACTCTTCCCTTCTACCCAGACACCTTGACCATACCACTCTAAGGTCTCACAAATCCCTTCTACCCAGACATGGTGACCAAACCACCCTATGGTCTCACAATTCTATACCCAGATACCTTGACCATACCACCCTAAGATCTCACAATTCACCTCTACCCAGACATGGTGACCATACCATCACAAGGCCTTATACTTCCCCTCTACCCAGACAAGGTTACCATACCATCACAAGGCCTTATACTTCTTACCCAAGACAAGGTGACCAAACAATCCCCAAGGTCTCACACTTTCCCTCTACCCAGACATAGTGACCATACCACCCCATGGACTCTTCCGCTCGAAAACCTTACACTTCTTTTAACCAAGACAAGATGATCAAACCTCCCAAAGGCCTTACACATCCCCTCTACCCAGGCATGGTGACCATACCATCCCACGGCCTCATACTTCCACTCTAGAGCCTTACACTTCTTACCCAAGACAAGGTGACCAAACCATTCCCAAGGTCTCAAACTTTTCCTCTACCCAGACATGGTGATAATACCACCACAAGGCCTTACTCTTCCCCCCTACCCTGAAATGGTGACCATAGCACTTTCCCTCTACATATATATAGAGACCATTTAACACCTTAGCCAAATATATCTATTACCAACTGCATACCAATGAAATCTTGAGAGATGGTAGCATAGACTGACATACAATTTGTCATTTCCTGTTCACACAATCCTACTGTTGTGGTCTGTGTACTTTTACATGTTTTAAACTGTCACTTTGTTGCTTTAACACCATAACTCTCACTTGTCTCTGTACATAGCTTAATAGGCAATGCACAAGAGGCACCTTGCATGTATTCAGGGAACTATATCAGAAATAGGAACACAAATACATTATCACAATCCTGAAGTTTCGTCACCACAGAAAATAAAAGACTTTAACCTCATTAATGAGGTAACACAAGCTCTAATCAAGGATATTGTTAATTTCAAGGTTTTTTATTGTATATTTTTTATAGGAGATATTGCACTTCAGATGTGTTTTCGGTGCAAAGCATACACAAATGACACGCACACTTCGATCGCTGCATGTAATAACTGGATCTTCTCTTGTAACACATACACTAACACTGTCTGCTATCCTAACATGATTTTTATTTGGTATAAATAATGAATAGTCTAGATTGAGGGTTTGTAAATTGAATATGTTAAGAGTTGTCATGAGATGTCTCATTCACAATGTTTTTGCTATTGGTACACAAACACCAAGTACTATATAACCCCACACTATGAAAGAGAAGGTAATGTGTGTTGTAATTGAATTCTTTTCTATATTTGGCATTACTATAACTGCCAACAAGAGATTTTATTACTCTACAGCTGGTAATATTCATGGGAGGTTTAATTTTGCTACTTTCTCGGTCATAACAGACATCTCAAAATAGAATATCCAGCGAACATTTCTCAAGTGAATGAAAACCTCTTTTTGCATGTATACATAAACAACATTTCATAGAAATGTGCAAAGCTTATAACCTTTGAACTAGCCCAAACTGGGACAACTGTGTAATTTTAACCCCCCAAATAAAATCCCTACAGGTACAACAGAATGATTATTTTTCTCTTATCCTGTTTTCCTTGTCCAAGCGCAAGACAAGTGTATTATGTTTAAACAATAACATGTGGATGAAGTATGAATAATGACGGGGTCCTGCCTCAGATGCTTCAAACATTGTGATTTAATATCATGCAAAATGTAATTGTAGTGTACATGCCAATAAATGATCAAATAAAATTATACTCATGATATTTAATATACATTTTATTTATAAGTTGTGGATCAAGATGAGTTTCAATCTTGACAATAACACAGGATTTTCTGTTTTTAGAATAACACAAGATTTCAGTAGCAGATGAACTAGTGTACATGTATCTGTGTGACCTCACATAAATGACAATGTTGTCACTTAAATTTTTTTCAGAACATGCAAAGAGCATGTGTATTTTATTTCAATCCTAGAAAGAGACAAAGAAATCTCTCACCAAGGAAAAGTATGGATTTACCTGTCCAGACTAAGAAAAAAAAATAGAATCCAAACTGTGACAAGACAGTCTTATCAAATATAAAAATACACACTAATAAGTGGTGTCTCTACGCAGGAAGCTTACCATCATGCCCTGTGTCTTCAGGTGAGCCAGGACAGACCTCCACATACGGTAGTCACTGATCCCGAAGCTGGCCAGTATACACATGTAAGGTGTCCAAAGATATTTCATACGCAATGTAGACATGGCTAGCAATCCAAAAAACACTGCCTGCACTGCAAATAGAGACAAAGAATGGAAAAGTTTGAATACATAATCACAATACAAAGTCTAAAGGTCATGAACCCTTTTGCTCTCATTGAAGTATCATTGCTTGGTAAATTTTTGTAAGGAGTATTTAAGACATTCTAATAATAATGACATTTGTGTTACATAAAAAGTTAAGTTAGTAGAGTAACATCACTGATTTAGAATAATGTTTAGTAAGTCGAAGATTTTCTATACCAGGGTTAAAAATAATGGTGACTCTAACCATGGAACCAAGAAACAGAAACTTGTCTACCTTTGTGTATAAGTTTGATCACAATTTCTTGAGAAAAGAGCAACTGGAATATCAATGAATTGGGTGATTTTCTACAAATAGTAACATTAACATTGGCCTTGACCTTATGAACCTGAAACATATCATACTTGACCTACACATCATCTTTCATTAAAATCCCCTAAGGTATCCAATTTTATTGATGACATTACCAGAGTAATAGCCTGTATGGTATGTCAGCTGTGGCCTGTTACTCAGGAGATGACACTTACCTGTATGGTATGCCAGCTGTGGCCTGTTACTAAGGAGATGACACTTACCTGTATGGTATGCCAGCTGTGGCCTGTTACTAAGGAGATGACACTTACCTGTATGGTATGCCAGCTGTGGCCTGTTACTGAGGAGATGGTACCTACCTGTATGGTATGCCAGCTGTGGCCTGTTACTAAGGAGATGACACCTACCTGTATGGTATGCCAGCTGTGGCCTGTTACTCAGGAGATGACACTTACCTGTATGGTATGCCAGCTGTGGCCTGTTACTAAGGAGATGACACTTACCTGTATGGTATGTCAGCTGTGGCCTGTTACTCAGGAGATGACACTTACCTGTATGGTATGCCAGCTGTGGCCTGTTACTAAGGAGATGACACTTACCTGTATGGTATGCCAGCTGTGGCCTGTTACTAAGGAGATGACACTTACCTGTATGGTATGCCAGCTGTGGTCTGTTACTAAGGAGATGGTACCTACCTGTATGGTATGCCAGCTGTGGCCTGTTACTAAGGAGATGACACCTACCTGTATGGTATGCCAGCTGTGGCCTGTTACTAAGGAGATGGCACTTACCTGTATGGTATGCCAGCTGTGGCCTGTTACTAAGGAGATGGCACTTACCTGTATGGTATGCCAGCTCTGGCCTGTTACTAAGGAAATGACACTTTCCTGTATGTTATGCCAGCTCTGGTCTGTTACTCAGGAGATGACACCTACCTGTATGGTATGCCAGCTGTGGCCTGTTACTAAGGAGATGACACCTACCTGAATGGTATGCCAGCTCTAGTCTGTTACTCAGGAGATGACACTTACCTGTATAGTATGCCAGCTGTGGCCTGTTACTAAGGAGATGACACTTACCTGTATGGTATGCCAGCTGTGGCCTGTTACTAAGGAGATGACACTTACCTGTATGGCATGTCAGCTGTGGCCTGTTACTAAGGAGATGACACTTACCTGTATGGTATGCCAGTTCTGGTCTGTTACTAAGGAGATGATACTTACCTGTATGGTATGCCAGTTCTGGTCTGTTACTAAGAAGATGGGACTTTTTTGTACTGGCAGTATCTTTCACAGTTGCATCATGCACATGATTACTGAAAACCAAAAATATGAATCAGAAAACTAGAACTATTTATGATAAATATGTTCGAATTTTATAATCTGGATAACAGTATAGGGAGCCTGATATTGATATAGAGCCATCCATAGACAATACATATACATCTAACTGGACAGAAGTATGTAAGATGTATGGAATGTCAATCATGCTTGACAGGATCTGTTATCACTGAATATGAAATTAATTCACATCTGTACAATAATCAGCAAACCTTACCTCCAGTTTTGTAGAACAGCCACACAGAGGACTATAAGCAGGATCACATGTGTAGCCACATAGAAGGGGAAAACCATGCCTTTTGTTAATCTCTCGTATGTATCAAATGGCAGGAAATGAAACGCCTCCAGACAAAGATATATCCGTGAATCAAAGTCTCTGTAAATATATACCACAACACCTCTGATAAAGTTATATCAAAATTAGCTCCTAAACAATGCTAGCTAATCATAAACTTCATGGCTGATACTGTAACCTGTATGGTTACATTGTAGTTTCTGTAATTGATAATGTAACCTGTTTGGTTACATTGTATTTTCTGTAATTGATAATGTAACCTGTTTGGTTACATTGTATTTTCTGTAATTGATAATGTAACCTGTTTGGTTACATTGTAGTCTCTGTGTGGTTGAAGATATTTACAGTTAAGAACCAGCGTATCTATCCTTCAATGATTTTCATGAATCACTTGTCATGTACTACTATGTATAAAAAAACATGAACTAAAGAATGATAAAAAATGTCTGACAATTTTTCTATTTTGGAAGAAAAACAAGATACACATACCTAGGATTTCCAATTCCAAATTTAGACAGCACAAATTTGTATATATGTTCATCTGCTTCTACGTTGATCAAAACCTTCAAATGTAAAATAAAATTCAAAAATATTTTATTGTCACAACTGCATAGGATGCCCCATCCTGTGATATTTAGAGCTAGGAGTTAAACACAATGAGTTATTGCTTCTGATGAGCATGATGCCTGCATCTGCATTTCCTTCTTCCTGTATTCAAGTTTATCAATGAGATTTATTTCAGCAACTTTCATGCTTTTTTTAAAGTCTGGTTGTAATCTGTCAACAGCCTTGCTTAAATTTCCCTTGTTTAATCATTCACATAGTTAAAACTTTCCATTGGTATTCATCTAAGTATTCTGATGCAACATGTACATGGAAAAGTATGGCATTTTTTTTCATGTTCTCTCATCATTCTTTCCCTACCATTTCTACTTCTAATTTTCATTTTTGTGAAATTTATGAAATTTTGGAGATAGTTCATCAACCCCTTCAGGTTTTCGACACTTATTTCAACCAATCTGGATCCTATTCAGTTACCTCCTAATTTTCAACAATTTAGGCCCATAGCATCACCGATGACTCTAAGAAGAAGGAAACTGTATGATTCATTATTTGGTCCTACAGTATATATTTTGTATTGAAATCTACCATTCACTTGTGACTTATTCAATTTTAGAATTTTGAGCATTCCAAATTTTAACTTCACATTGATAAAAGCTTTTACTAACTCACTTTCTAACGGAAACTTCATGGATTCTCAAAATGATCTTTAAAAAAATTTGCAAAAAAATCTGTCACCAATTGGAGTTTTTCAGAGCTTTCATCATTTTGTGTTTGGTATTTGTAGTGGAGGAATATTTCCATTGTGAATGATAGGAGATCAAGAAAACTCACCTTCACTGCTAAGTTGATGGACACCATCAACATCAACACCACCGTGCTATAAGATATGACCTTGAAGATCCGTGAAGGTATACTGCAAAGTTTCATGTCATCACCCTGAATAACAATATTTGTAATATTAATAGTATAATTTGTATTATTTGTTTTAGTCAATCTAATTTCCTGAAATTCAACATGGAGAAAAACAGGTTTGGGAATGTATCTAATTTTATATCTACAAGATGCAGTACTGCTGGTCTCCTACCTTTACATACATAGGAGCAGTGCTGCTGGTCTCCTACCTTTATATACATAAGAATCAGCGCTGCTGGTCTCTTTCCTTTATATACATAAGGAACAGTGCTGCTGGTCTCTTACCTTTATATACATAAGGAACAGTGCTGCTGGTGTCTTACCTTTATATAAATAAGGAACAGTGCTGCTGGTCTCCTACCTTTATATACATAAGGAACAGTGCTGCTGGTGTCTTACCTTTATATACATAAGGAACAGTGCTGCTGGTGTCTTACCTTTATATACATAAGGAACAGTGCTGCTGGTGTCTTACCTTTATATACATAAGGAACAGTGCTGCTGGTGTCTTACCTTTATATACATAAGGAACAGTGCTGCTGGTCTCTTACCTTTATATACATAAGGAACAGTGCTGCTGGTCTCTTACCTTTACATACATAAGGAACAGTGCTGCTGGTCTCTTACCTTTATATACAGAAGGAACAATGCCGCTGGTCTCCTACCTTTATATACATAAGGAGCAGTGCTGCTGGTCTCCTACCTTTATATACATAAGGAACAGTGCTGCTGATCTCTTACCTTTATATACATAAGGAACAGCGCTGCTGGTGTCTTACCTTTATATACATAAGGAACAGTGCTGCTGGTCTCTTACCTTTATATACATAAGGAACAGTGCTGCTGGTCTCTTACCTTTATATACATAAGGAACAGTGCTGCTGGTCTCTTACCTTTATATACATAAGGAACAGTGCTGCTGGTCTCTTACCTTTATATACATAAGGAACAGTGCTGCTGGTCTCTTACCTTTATATACATAAGGAACAGTGCTGCTGGTCTCTTACCTTTATATACATAAGGAACAGTGCTGCTGGTGTCTTACCTTTATATACATAAGGAACAGTGCTGCTGGTCTCCTACCTTTATATACATAAGGAACAGTGCTGCTGGTCTCCTACCTTTATATACATAAGGAACAGCGCTGCTGGTCTCTTACCTTTATATACATAAGGAACAGTACTGCCCTTCTCTTACCTTTATATACATAAGGAACAGTGCTGCTGGTCTCTTACCTTTATATACATAAGGAGCAGTGCTGCTGGTCTCTTACCTTTATATACATAGGGAACAGTGCTGCTGGTCTCTTACCTTTATATACATAAGGAACAGTGCTGCTGGTGTCTTACCTTTATATATATAAGGAGCAGAGCTGCTGGTGTCTTACCCTTATATACATAAGGAACAGTGCTGCTGGTTCCTACCTTTATATACATAAGGAACAGCGCTTTCTCTTACCTTTATATACATAAGGAACAGTACTGCCCTTCTCTTACCTTTATATACATAAGGAACAGCGCTGCTGGTGTCTTACCTTTATATACATAAGGAACAGTGCTGCTGGTCTCTTACCTTTATATACATAAGGAACAGTGCTGCTGGTCTCTTACCTTTATATACATAAGGAACAGTGCTGCTGGTCTCTTACCTTTATATACATAAGGAACAGTGCTGCTGGTCTCTTACCTTTATATACATAAGGAACAGTGCTGCTGGTCTCTTACCTTTATATACATAAGGAACAGTGCTGCTGGTCTCTTACCTTTATATACATAAGGAACAGTGCTGCTGGTGTCTTACCTTTATATACATAAGGAACAGTGCTGCTGGTCTCCTACCTTTATATACATAAGGAACAGTGCTGCTGGTGTCTTACCTTTATATACATAAGGAACAGTGCTGCTGGTCTCCTACCTTTATATACATAAGGAACAGTGCTGCTGGTCTCCTACCTTTATATACATAAGGAACAGCGCTGCTGGTCTCTTACCTTTATATACATAAGGAACAGTACTGCCCTTCTCTTACCTTTATATACATAAGGAACAGCGCTGCTGGTGTCTTACCTTTATATACATAAGGAACAGTGCTGCTGGTCTCTTACCTTTATATACATAAGGAGCAGTGCTGCTGGTCTCTTACCTTTATATACATAAGAAACAGTACTGCTGGTGTCTTACCTTTATAAACATAAGGAACAGTGCTGCTGGTCTCTTACCTTTATACACATAAGGAACAGTACTGCTGGTCTCTTACCTTTATATATATAAGGAGCAGTACTGCTGGTCTCTTACCTTTATATACATAAGGAGCAGTGCTGCTGGTCTCTTACCTTTATATACATAAGGAGCAGTACTGCTGGTCTCTTACCTTTATATACATAAGGAACAGTGCTGCTGGTGTCTTACCTTTATATACATAAGGAACAATGCTGCTGGTCTCTTATCTTTATCTATATAAGGAGCAGTGCTGCTGGTCTCTTACCTTTATATATATAAGGAGCAGTACTGCTGGTCTCTTACCTTTATATATATAAGGAGCAGTACTGCTGGTCTCTTACCTTTATATACATAAGGAACAGTGCTGCTGGTCTCCTACCTTTATATACATAAGGAGCAGTGCTGCTGGTCTCCTACCTTTATATACATAAGGAACAGTGCTGCTGGTGTCTTACCTTTATCTATATAAGGAGCAGAGCTGCTGGTGTCTTACCTTTATATACATAAGGAACAGTGCTGCTGGTGTCTTACCTTTATATACATAGGAGCAGTACTGCTGGTCTCTTACCTTTATATACATAAGGAGCAGAGCTGCTGGTATGAAACTCATCACGAAGGACCCAAGTATCATTTTGTTGATGAACTGGAGCAGGCACACCATCAATAGGGAAATAGCCTCGATATAAAGCATCATTCGAACCTACAGTCAACAAACAAGTATTTACATAGATCAGAATAATTCTAGAGGGCATGCACCATTTACCAAGAAATTACCAATAATTTTACAATGTTATATTTCCCTAATATGGGTTTTGGCCCTGTGTAGCAGAAGTAGTAACACTAATGGTATTTCATAGATTTAGTTGAAAAACCCAAATTTACAACGGATCAAATTTAGTTACAATCTCTTATCTACAGAAAATGAACAATGATACTCCCATTACAAAAGGAAGGTGAAAAAATTTATCTCCTCTGCCCCATAGGGCAACGCCTTCTGATTTCAAAAAGCATTTCTCTGAAACTAATTTGAATTGTAACTTTTGAAGCTTCAGACCGAATAAAGTCAAAACACTTTTATTGTTATAGGAGCAGAAAGATTTTGGAAGTTTTCAAAAACTTTGTCAGGCTTCACCCGGAAAGTCTAGCAGTTAAATACAATGATTCTATTTTGGTTAACCATACAAAGTTGTTTAAAGGTTTTAACATCTTTGATCCCAGTGACTTTGAACAGAGGTCAAATCATTTTTTTCCACAAAAAATATCATGACCCTTGGCACTTTAGTTATTGAGAAGAAGTTGTCACTAGACAGATAACAGGATGCCAAGGTGAGCTAATGTTATTAATGTCTCAAAATTCTCCATTGCTCTTACCTTCTTTGGGGGAACAAGGTCTAAAATCCACACGCCAAACAAGGAAAATGACTGGAGTAGAATGATGAACTGGTTGAACTGCCATCCCAAGGCAAACAAGAAGGTACTGACTAGACACAGGGCAACAGATAGTCTCTGCAGACATAGACAGGTAACAATTAGTTAGGTATAAAAATAGGTAAGTACTGACTAGACACAGGGCTACAGATAGTCTCTGTAGACATAGACAGGTAACAATTAGGTATAAAAATAGGTAGGTACTGACTACATACAGGGCTACAGATAGTTTCTGTAGATTTAGACAGGTTACAATATACAAAATATTCTTATACTAACTGGAATGTATCTCACTAAATCGCAATGCTGACTTCAGCAGAATAATGTAGCCACTGGCCACAATTGCTATGTTTGAGAAATGTCTATGACTGCAAAACAAATTGAACTAACAATTAAATTGCAAATATAAGAAACTACCCATCCTTTATGCAGGAAAAGCCTCTCTGTCCCTCTCTCATTACATAATGTCTAATATCCTTGTCTAGCTCAATCAGACACTTGATCACAGTGTAAGAAGGTATACAGACAACTAAGTGTCTGGTTGAGCAAGACTACTGGTATCGGAGTGCCTTTCAATAACCTTTGACAGTGGTAAATCTTAAGGTGTTCCAAAACTGTTCCAAAGCCAGGTAAAATGTGGGTTATCTGATAACCTGATGGGTCAAACAGATGAGTCATTCATAGTAGTGTAAATATTGGATTGACCCTGGGGAATCAAGTGTTGGCAATACTGAAAATTGTTTACAGCAGTTTGAATGTTTCTGATAAATGTAACAAAAATAGTATAAAAATGAACTTAATGAATTATTCATTCTGCTTCCGAAAACGGTTTTTGTTGTACCTACAATTTTTACAAAGGGCAATAATTCTGTAATTAAGGGATTTTGGGCACTGAATTGAGTACATTGCACATGATTTTAAGTTTGACAAAGATATACACCGAGTTGCATTTTCCTAGTTTAATTGAAAACAAAGTTATGCTCTGAACATAAACTTTCAACAAAGGGCAACAATACTGTAATGTATTCAACAACTTTATGACCTTTGCTTAACTTAAGGCAAAGTTATGCTCCAGCCACAAAATGAGGGGATAGACTGACTGATGGATGGACAAACAAAGCGGCAACTTTATGAGAATAACATTTGTTCAACTGTGTTAATGGTTACAATCTAAATTTGTTAGAATGTATTGCCTCAATACAAAATGTATACAGTACACAATTGAATACCGGTATGTCAAAATCTTTTTATATTTTTATATATTGATATTTTTTCAAAGAAAAGGATAGACAACTTACATCTTTAGTAGGGTTGTTGCTTGGTCTGAAGTAGAATGAGGTGGCAGCTACCTGTACCCACAAAAATGGCAAGGAGAAACTCTCACGTAGGGGAATGATGTATTCTACACGTGTCGTGTCCAGCCTGTAAATCAACGCATATCAATGTTTAGTCATGTCCTATACCTAGACACCTGTCTATATTTACCTGTAATATGTACTTAGATGCCTACATACTTTTCTACATTTACCTGCATCACGAAAGATACCATGACACTTGTCAATGTTTACTTGTATAACGTAGATAGCTACACACCTGTCCATGTTTACCTGTGACGCTTAGATATCCAGTCACTTAACTATAATTACCTGTGATACTTAGATATCTAGACACCTGTTTATGTTTTCCTTTAATACTTTGATATTTAGGCATTGTTGATGTCTACCTGTGATACTTAGTTACCTAGATACTTATCTATGTTTACCTTTGACAATTTTATACCTAGACAACTGTCTGTTTACTTGTGACCTGTATGTTTTTATTTGTGGCTGTAATACTTATTAGATGATCGGTCTACTAGTCCTGATTACAGATCACACTTAGTTGCCAAGACAGTTATCTTTGCTATATTAGTTACATTCAGATTCCAAGACATATCTATTTGTTTACCTGTGATACTTGAATACAGACACCTGTCTACTCCAACCTGTGTTTCATTCTCAGTTTACCTGTGTCACTCAGATACAAGACATCTGACAGAGACACCTGTCTATTCTAAAAAAACTGCTTACCTGTTAAAGATGTAGAAGCAGGAAGTGAGAATGCCGGCAAGCCATGAACCGCTGAGCATATAAGCTGTGGCAAACAAAGCCCAAATGAGCATGGCATGAAGAGCAAACACACTGTTGATGTAGAAGTAGATTGGCTGGATGTAATTCTGTAAATAAGAAAGGGAGACAACTTTAACAAGATTTACAGGAAAGAAAGTAAACAGTACTTGACAACTTCAGCATAAAATCATATATTCTCTTCAGAAGTAAGGTTTTTTGAGTAATATCACTTCAATATTAAATGGCTTTTTTATCAACTAAATAGTTCTTGAAATTGATATGATTACTCAAGATGTTGAGGACTTGATAGGGAGGACCATGTAAAGGGTGCTAAGGGCTTACCTTGATGAGGAGGATCCTGTAGAGGGTGCTAAGGATTTACCTTGATAGGGAGGACCCTGTAGAGGATTCTGAGGACTTACCTTGATGGGGAGGACCCTGTAGAGGGTGCTAAGGATTTACCTTGATGGGGAGAACCCTGTAGAGGATTCTGAGGGCTTACCTTGATGGGGAGAACCCTGTAGAGGATGCTGAGGGCTTACCTTGATGGGGAGAACCCTGTAGAGGATTCGAGGGCTTACCTTGATGGGGAGAACCCTGTAGATGATGCTAAGGGCTTACTTTGATGGGGAGAACCCTGTAGAGGATTCTGAGGGCTTACCTTGATGGGGAGGACCCTGTAGAGGGTGCTAAGGACTTACCTTGATGGGGAGAACCCTGTAGAGGATGCTGAGGATGACTTCTTGGTAGATATTCATACGTTCCAGGACATTGATAGTACTTGGATGTTCTGTCATGTTGTCATGCGTTATCTCATATAGGCCTATAACAATAAAAAAAAACTATAATAAATGAAAAGTTTTTGGAAATTCTTACTATGTGATATAAAAAATCATACATTCATGTAAAGTGGAATTTACAATGAATTGGCACTCATTAACAATCTTCTATAATGTACAATGAAACAGTCTGTCTTTAAGTCAACTTGTTAGTAAATCTTGATAGACATTTTACGTAATTACATAAAATTCCAAATAAAAAACGTTGATTTCTTGATTTATGTTTCATGTCTCGATGAAGTCGCAGATTGGCAAGAAAACTTGACAAATAAACAAAGTGATCAGGGGCTCACATAGATATACCTCTATCTCTGGATAAAGTAGTAAGTAGTGCACTTTGGCCCTGACCAATGACCACCAACATTTAACCAGGTGCAGACCTTGGTAGTATGAGGCTATGGTGTAAATATAAACAAAATACATTCAAGGGTTCATGAGATATCTTGTACACATTGTTATCATAGATGCATGAACCCACAGATGAACAAAAAGATTACTACTTCTCCTTTACCAAAGTGAAAGGTATAATTTGCAACATACATGTCACCTCCCTTCTTACCTTAGCAAGGGGGTATAAATAGCAGTCTGCCTGGTCCCCCCTTACCGTAGTGGGGGATATTATTAGCAGTCTGCACAGTTCCCCCTTACCTATGGGGGATATAAAATTAGCAGTATGCAGTTTCCCCTTACCTAAGTGAAAGGTATAATTTGCAACATACATGTCACCTCCCTTCTTACCTTAGCAAGGGGGTATATAATAGCAGTCTGCACAGTTCCCCCTTACCGTAGTGGGGGATATTATTAGCAGTCTGCACAGTTCCCCCTTACCTATGGGGGATATAAAATTAACAGTATGCACAGTTCCCCCTAACCTAACTGAGGATATAATTAGCAGTCTGCACAGTTCCCCCTTACCTAAGTAGGGTATATAATTAGCAGTCTGCACAGTTCCCCCTTACCTAAGTAGGGTATATAATTAGCAGTCTGCACAGTTCCCCCTTACCTAAGTAGGGTATATAATTAGCAGTCTGCACAGTTCCCCCTTACCTAAGTAGGGTATATAATTAGCAGTCTGCACAGTTCCCCCTTACCTAAGTAGGGTATATAATTAGCAGTCTGCACAGTTCCCCCTTACCTAAGTAGGGTATATAATTAGCAGTCTGCACAGTTCCCCCTTACCTAAGTAGGGTATATAATTAGCAGTCTGCACAGTTCCCCCTTACCTAAGTAGGGTATATAATTAGCAGTCTGCACAGTTCCCCCTTACCTAAGTAGGGTATATAATTAGCAGTCTGCACAGTTCCCCCTTACCTAAGTAGGGTATATAATTAGCAGTCTGCACAGTTCCCCCTTACCTAAGTAGGGTATATAATTAGCAGTCTGCACAGTTCCCCCTTACCTAAGTAGGGTATATAATTAGCAGTCTGCACAGTTCCCCCTTACCTAAGTAGGGTATATAATTAGCAGTCTGCACAGTTCCCCCTTACCTAAGTAGGGTATATAATTAGCAGTCTGCACAGTTCCCCCTTACCTAAGTAGGGTATATAATTAGCAGTCTGCACAGTTCCCCCTTACCTAAGTAGGGTATATAATTAGCAGTCTGCACAGTTCCCCCTTACCTAAGTAGGGTATATAATTAGCAGTCTGCACAGTTCCCCCTTACCTAAGTAGGGTATATAATTAGCAGTCTGTACAGCCACCTCCTACCTAAGTGGGGATATTATTAGCAGAAGGCAGAATCCCTCTTACCTAAGTGAGGGATTTAATTAACAGACTGTACAGCCCCCTCTTACCTAAGTGGGGATATTATTAGCAGCAGGCAGAATCCCCCTTACCTAAGTGAGGGATTTAATAAACAGACTGTACAGCCCCCTCTTACCTAAGTTGGGATATGATTAGCAGCAGGCAGAATCCCCCTTACCTAAGTGAGGATATAATTAGCAGAAGGCAGAATCCCTCTTACCTAAGTGGGGGATATAATTACCAGACTGTACAGCCCCCTTTTACCTAAGTGGGGATATGATAAGCAGCAGGCAGAATCCCTCTTACCTAAGTGGGGGATTTAATCAGCAGTGTGCACAGTCCCTCCTTTAACTAAGTGGGGAATATCATTAGCAATGTGCACAGCCCCTCCTTACCTAAGCAGACATTCATTCCTATTTTATGCTTATGTCACAATGTTTGAATCAATGTTGCAGGCCTATATAACAGTATGGTTTTATTTTGTGTAACTCAAATGTCATATAACATAATCTACATATCATTCGATCATAGAAATCAAATATTTCTAAAGCAATATGTTCCAATTCTTACTCAAACATCATATGAGGATGTATAATAAAATTTAATGAAGAAAACATATCATAATAAATTCTATTTCCTTTTTCAATACAAAAGACAAAGGGGCATAAACGGTCATCTGAGTGAACCCATAAAAGAACACAATTGAAATGAATGAGTATTATACAGAAGAGAAAGTGTTATTTGTACTTGGAAAGGAGAGTGTTACTGAAGTTGTAACTCAACATTTTTTCCTGAAATAATGGCAACCTAATAAACAACTGTAAACTTTACCCCCTTCCCAAGGAAAGATGTGAGATCCTTGGGTCATAAAGTGTATAACTTTTGTAAAGCCCCTCTAGACCCATCCATGGAGAGAGTTAGATTCTACCATGGTCGGGTATTGAGAAGAAGATTTTTTAAAATTTCAGTCAAATTGGCCCTTTTTTGCCCCATCTATCAGCCACTGAGAGCCAGCCATGGTCAATGTATGCATGTCATCAAACCACCATCCTTTACTATCAAGGTTAACTAATTTAACTATGTTTAAACTATTTTTAATAAAAAAAATAAACAAATCATGCACATAAATGTAATTTTCTATATAAACAACTGTAAAATTTACCCCCTCCCCAAGGGGAAATTTGAGACTCTGGGGTAATGAAATTTATAATTTTGTTAAAACACCTTAAGATCCTACCATATTAGGGTATTGAGAAGAAGATTTTTTAAAATTTCAACAATTTGTCACCATTTTGGCCATGCCCTTTGGGTCCTGGGGGTAGGAACCATATAATGTAAAATTTTAGTTCAGCTTTTGCCATGGAAAATGTTGCTAAATTTCAAAATGAAATCGGTTCAGTGTAAAAAGTTTACAGACAACAATGCCAGACAAAGAGAATCACAATAGGTCACCAGGAGACTTTACTCGTGTCATCTAATAATTTCAATCATTTTAAGTTGTGCTTGTAATCTGTTTTATAAACTGAACATGAAGTATCAGTATACAAAGCCATTGGAAATTTTACTGTTTCCCAATTTGAGTGCATTCTACGAGTCACAATGACATTAATTTATGATTTATGATTTCCGTCAGATAAATAAACATCACCAGGATATTCATAAAACATACATATTGAAATTAAATTTCTTTTTCAAGTTTATTTTCAATTTGGATAATAAAACTCCTCTTTACATAACACATAAAACTTGACTCAAACGTTGTGTGATGACTTCTTTATATAGAAGCTGTGACATTTGCTGTGTCTATAAAGGGTTATACACAACCTACATATTCTCCTTTTTTACCTGGAGACCACTAAATCTAGATCTCTGGAGGAAGGCTTCTGATTAAATTTATTTTTGTGCTTTGACTTTTCATCTTTTAAATCTAAAGCTAGTCCCAAATGTTTTTGTCATCCTGTGGTAGACGATAACAATTTTGGTTGCATCAACAACTGTTTGACAGCTGCAATTCCATGACCTTCACCATAAGTGATCTCCAGGTGATTAAACATAATGTATGCAAAAAACAAAGCCACGCATCAATGTACTAGATTATCACATGTTTTAAGTCAAACGATTAAGGACATACATCTACCCTTGTGTCACAAATATGGTCGGTCATATTGGAGTTACTTAATATATATCTATTTCACAAGACTATCATTAGTAGAATGTATTTAAAACAAAGCAAATAAAAGGACAAACTACATTAAACCGCTGTTCAGTCAACACGACAGGATGACATCACAGAGATGATAAACTAACAATGTGATGAATATCTGCCATTTCTTCCAGCATCAGAACAGCCATTTGTCAAGCAGTCCCGGGAGAATTCCGAGCTCTGGGTTCAAATATTACCATGACAACCTTAGATAAAATATATTACAACATTAGGCTTGGCACCTCATTGCAGCTTCATCTCAATCTCATCAATATTGTTGATTAATTTTTGTCATTTTGATGAAAGTTGAGATCTCAGTAATTACGAAATTCTGTATTTCATATTCAACACCAATTAGGTATACAATGGGTTTGGCCCAATACATCAAACTCATATCAAGAGATTTAAGAGAGTTCTTGACTGTCAAGGAAAACATGCTAGTATTGGTTTCCCTTAGGACATGTTGTTGGCTTGTGGTAATTTGTGATTTATATCTTCACTCGGAACTGTCTAGGAAACTGCAGTGGCACTTGTTTATACCTAATACATACATTTCTCTTAAAGTTACTACCAATATGGAATCACTGCATAACTTAGAATTGAGTTCTACATATTGGGAAGGTTTCAAATGAATGAGTCTAAAAATGTAATACATATTAAGAAATTATAAACAAATTCTGACAAGGTGCCCTTGAGATATCTTATACTCAAGCTTTTTGCTACAGAAGCATAGACACACACGGACACAAGCATGGATGAATGCAGTGATAGAACATTTAATTATACCCCTTTTGTTCAGTCTGCATGGTGTAAATAAGTATTAATGAGCTTAGTCTAAATGTAGAAAATAAATGAGATGACAGGTAAACAAGATAAGCCATCATGATTTGGGTAGCCAAGGGATGTAACATTTGTTGATGTAGACAGCAAGTCATTCAGGGGTCTGGAAAGTGCTAATGGATCAGACCTTGTGCCACCTGTTGTAGCTGTAAGTCATTTCTCTATTTGTGAAGCCAATTTGTGTAGAACATACTATAGTTGACACTTTCATGATCCACCAACAAGAGTCCCAATAGTCCTCTATCAATTCAGTGTTACTACTGTGAGCTTTAAAAAGAAAAATGCCCATTTAACTCTTTAAATCACCATTTACTTACACTACCTATTTGTGACATATTATAGATATTTGTTAAAGATACAATGCCACTTTGTTTGCAATGATGGATACTTAGTTCCTAGATTTAACTACATGAAATCATGATATTGGTCTGGTAGAATGCACCTCCATATATGACCTTCAAAGTTTGTCAAGGTAATTAATTTGATAGTAAGTTTAACATCCAATCATTCCAGCAAGCTAGTGACTAAAGAAATCTAGCTTTGCAGGTTTGTTATTTAAAAAGAATTTTGAAGTATTATAACAGCTGTGACCTTTAACAGATGAAAAGTGGGTTGACATTCAAGTGCATCAAAAGCTATTTATAGTCCTTTATTCCAACATACTCTCAGATAAAACTGTAAGCATGGTAATTCCTAAGACAAAGAAAGAATCACAGAATTTGTTTTAATAATCTGATCCCTGTGATCTTGGGCTAAGGTCAAATTCATCCATTTAGACAAACTTCATTGTATTGTCATCTCTGCATACTATTTGCAAAATGTACAAAGTATTTTGGTTAATCAAACCTTAGGGAAAGATTTAAACATCGTTGACTCCTATGACCTTGAAATAGGGTAAACACTAAGCATATACTAATATAGACAGACAACATTAACATTCCTGATTTAAAGGTGCTATCAGTAAAACAGTACAACTATTGGCCCCTTGGTCATTCACAAGAAATAACTTTCAAAGGGTCAAATTTCAATATTGGTTGGAACAGCAACATATCACTTACCATCTCCAATAAACTCATGCTATACTTACTAGTCACTTCCCATGGAGCCAAGCCATACTTATAACTTACCTTTCATAAAATATGTTATGGTTACAAGTCACCTCCCATAGACCCAAGTCATACTTATAAGTCACTTCCAACAAAAACCATGCCATAGTAACAAATCATTTCCCATTGACTCATGCCATAGTTACAAGTCATTTCCCATTGACTCATGCCATAGTTACAAGTCTTTTCCCATTGACTCATGCCATAGTTACAAGTCATTTCCCATTGACTCTTGTCATAGTTACAAGTCATTTCCCATTGATTCATGTCATAGTTACAAGTCATTTCCCATAGCACCATGCCAAAGACACAAGTGAGGAAGTAAACAGAATGCAATACAACTACATTACCAGTAATTAAGTAACACATATAGTGTTGAGTATTACCTCAGGAGATTTGGTCTTCAGTAAAAAGCTTTAATAAATCTCTATATGAGAACACTGACATCTGAGATAATGTTATAGACTGGTATGATATCTTCAGAGCATCAGTAAACTGGGAAATGCTACATTAACAAATTCAGTGTGACTAGAGGACACAATAAACTGCAGCAAAAATCTAATAAAGCCAACAACCACCTGTATGTCAATCTATTGCCCAGGTTACAACATAGCTGTAAATAGTATCACCATGACAATCATAACGTCGATCTCAAAATGACAAAATCTTAGGGAAGTAGACAACCTATCTTCACCATAAACCAATTAGCTTGCAAATCTCAAGGGAGACAACCATGTTCTTTAATATACATTTGATTTCCTGCTTGATTGTTATGACTAACAATGATCACTCCATTAGCTTATTAGGCTCTGCCACACTGCATCCACCTGCTTCAGGCTCTTCACAACCATGAATCCCTTTTACACAAAGTTCCAGACTATTATTATCTAGTATGATCCCTTTATCTGTACAGAAGGAGAAGAGTTCAAAATTTCCATTTGGACTCCAGTCTTTGACCCAAGGCATAAGAAACTCAAAACAGCAAATTCATACAATGAGTCCCATCATCTAGGGATATTTCAACCCAAATATTTTTCAAAATTCCTGACTCAGCATGTTTGGAAAAGTACGTTCAAGTCTTTACTGGTATCTCCTCATTTTGGTCCCTTAGTAGGGGACCCACCCTTGTCTTAAAATCCAAGTTCCCTCCCTTTGGATATGGAAAATGCAAAGGCATCAATCCATGTCTTGACATATGAAAAAGACATATATCAATCATATAGCCTTGCTATGAAGTAAGAATCAGGAAAGGGACACATCCTTCCCTTAATTTTTTGGGAAAGATAAGAATATAGCCCTAGCTTAAAAATGTGAAGGATGCTACAGGATCTATTCTTGCCTTGAAATATAGAGAAGGGCAGCGACCATTCTTTGTCTTGTAATTTGGAAAAGGATTAGGAACCTATCCTTACCTCGGGTTATTGAAGAGGCATGAACCAACTGTTTGTAGTAGGAGTAGTATAATCCAGACTCCGTCCGAAAGGATATCTCCCTCTCCACTTCCTGTCAAATAAAAAAAAGTCACCATTTTCATCATGTTCTATAAAGATGGTTTAGCAAGTGCAAAATTATTTTAGTCAAGTCTTCGATTGTAGTGTGTATCTATAAAATAAACATAATTGTCTGAATGATATCAAACAATCAAACAGAGGAAATAATTTCAATCTCAAATATACAGACTCTACCAATCCATCAATTCTACATAACTACATATAGGAAGTAGTCTTCTAAAAAAAACGAAACAGAAGAAAAAATAGGAAGCACCTGTGATTTCATAAGAATTCAGTTCAGTCATTACAATCATGCAATTTTCAAATACCTTTGCAGAAACTGGTAAAAATTCAGAGTAGACCAAAGGGAAAAAATTACGTAGTCTGACACTATCTGCTTGCTTCCTCCGTGTATTATTGTCATTATGTATGATTACAAGTGCCCAAAGCTTCATTTAGGTTATCAATGTTTTATAAAGGTATGGCTAGACAGAAAGAAAACAATACTGTATTTTCCAGGTTATAAAACACACTATTATGTAAGCTGCCGAGCCATTTTTTATCAATAGTTTTCATTTGATCTACAAAATAGCCACATTGAAAATATAAGCTGCACCCTTTCTTACAATGTGGTGACTGTTATGTTGACCAAAGTTCGTCAATACAACAGACAATGGAAGACAATTTATTAAGTTATAATCCGGAAAATTCTCCTATTTCCATTAAAATTTGAACTCTGTGTCTATTTCTCATATTATCTCGTTAAAACCATTAATCTATTTTTGATACCATGCAATAAGCACAGGGGGGTTGGTGTTCTTATTTCAGGACTATGGAAAAGAATTTGAATTTAACTCTACTAAACAGAAATGGGTGGGCTTATTACTGGGCATGGGCTTATCCCTGCATAAGTATGTGAATTCACTTGATGTTGCATAGAAGATTTCTTTACCTTTCGTTATATATGATATCTCACAATATTTATCCTTGATAAAGCCAGGTAAGTTACAACAGTCACACAGATCAACATTCAAGCATTAACAGCCAAGCATCTGAGTGACCACAATTGACCTTTAGCTGTCATTGACAGAGATTTGCTTTATGGAGATGTAGAGAGATGAGCAAAACCAATAATCCCAAAGGAGACATGTGAGACGGTTTATATACAGCAGCTCCAGAACTGGCAATTATATCACTGTCCAAAGGCAGAGAACTGGAGTCAGGTAACACACCATAGACTACCATGGTTGTCAGCTATTTCTATGTCTCATTAGGGAAATTCAAGCCTTTGAAAGACACATGCTGTTGCATGCATACCATCATCAAACCTAAACTAATATATACTGTTTATGTAGTTTCTTTGCCCTTAAACTCTAAGAAAGGACAGAGCATGTTTCATCTACCATAGCATTCCAAACGATCTACATCAGCATAGCTAGAATCAAAATATTTAGGCCATATTTTTTTGCTTTTCTGACGTCTGGCTTGAAAGCACTAACAATAAGCCAACTATTCATAATCTTGTCCATGATATCAAAATGCAGCCATTTACACTTCACTAAACACTTTCCTAGCTTGATGGTAAGAAGTTCGATTTCAATGAATACAACAAAGCATTCTTTATCAGCATACATTGCATTAGCAAACAAGAGGTGATGGGGAACACTATAGCTTGCCTATAGTTATCTCGTGTGCATATTTATAAAAATGGATGTAACACATTTAAAGATATTGTAGCCTGATCAGCAAACAAGTTCAATCTGTATGACGACAAGAAACCTTGACTTAATGTTCAGTGAAACTAGAGATAATCAACATTCCTCCCCCATGGATCCTTGAATCTCATTATCAAATAAACACCAGAAAAACACATGCTTTATACACTTCCTAGGAAATACCAAAAGTCAAAGCCTTTCTTTAGTTTAGCAAGAAAAATCATGACTCAAAACAGTATCTTTGTAAATATCTGGTTAAGATGTTGCTGACAATACTAAGTTTGTGTGTTAAATAATGAATAAGAAATGAAGAACCATCTATCAATTCCTCTAGACAGCCATAAAAGGTGCTGCTTGTTCTCATTACATGTATTTCTCAGCAGTATATGTAAGTACTAAAATGCTTAATTTAATTGCGTTTTCAATTTCTCAACATGCTGGTCTCAATCATTTGGTATAGTTACACCTTGTACATGGTGTTAACATGGTCACATTTAAAATTCCACAAGGAATATGACGTCTACAGAAAGGCTGATTCAGAAACAGTATTTACTGTTAACCGCTGCAGGCTTATACAATAGCTAATATTGTAAACTATATTATTAGTAATCTGATTTTGATACTTTCCACACAAAAGATGGTCTAGAAAATGATTGCACTAATTTAATTTCTGTTTGCTGTCATTGTTGTGATTATTGTGACTGCATGAATTCATCACTACATCTATTTGTTCAAAATTGATATTGCACTGAAATATGGCGGAGCAAAATAAGTACATATACAGTATACTGAACACATAAATGAATAGGTTTACTGGAAATGAAGTCATCAATTTACTGACATCAGCGAACATTATTATCCATTGAACGCATAGTTTTTTGACATCAGTGAACTCTATGATTCACTGAAGACAGATTCACTGACATCAGTGATAATTACAATCCACTAAACACATATTTCTACTGACATCAGTGAACATTAGGATCCACTGAGCACATATTTCTACTGACATCAGTGAACATTTTCATCCACTAAACACATATTTCTACTGACATCAGTGAACATTTTCATCTACTAAACACATATTTCTACTGACATCAGTGAACATTAGGATCCACTGAGCACATGGATTGACTGACATTGGTGAATATCTTGACCTTCTGAATGCTATTTCTGAAATCAGTGAATTTCTGGATCCACTGAACACATAGCTTCATTGAACATTCTGATCTAGAGAACACAGATTTATCAACATCAGTGAGCATCCTGTTCTACAGAACAAACAAATTTATCAACATCAGTGAACATCCTGTTCTACAGGAATTACTGAACATTCTGATCTACAGAACACAGATTTATCAACATCAGTGAACATCCTGACCTACTGGAATTAGTGAACATTCTGATCTACAGAACACACAGATTTATCAACATCAGTGAACATCCTGTTCTACTGGAATTACTGAACATTCTGATCTACAGAACACACAGATTTATCAACATCAGTGACATTCTGATCTACAGAACACACAGATTTATCAACATCAGTGAACATCCTGTTCTACTGGAATCAGTGAACATTCTGATCTACAGAACACACAGATTTATCAACATCAGTGTACATCCTGTTCTACTGGAATCACTGAACATTCTGATCTACAGAACACACAGAGTTATCAACATCAGTGTACATCCTGTTCTACTGGAATCACTGAACATTCTGATCTACAGAACACACAGATTTATTAACATCAGTGAACATCCTGTTCTACTGGAATCAGTGAACATTCTGATCTACAGAACACACAGAGTTATCAACATCAGTGAGCATCCTGTTCTACTGGAATCAGTGAACATTCTGATCTACAGAACACACAGATTTATTAACATCAGTGAGCATCCTGTTCTAATGAACACATATATATACGTATATCCATCTGTAAAAATCTTTTAATATTAAATACAAAGATTTACTTTATCAATGAACATTCTGATCTACTGAACACTTACATTTACTGAACATATCAGTGACCATCCTCATCCACTAAACACATAGATTTTTCTGATATCAGTTAACATCCTAAATCATTTACTTTAATTTCCTGGCAATTAAAACATTTGGGTTTTTTTTTCATTTTTCCAATTTTAATTATGTACAAGCAATATTTTAAAATTCTTAATAAACTGTTGTTCATGAATTCTATGATTATAAGGAAACTATAATTATCAGACCTTTCCTTATCTACTTAACTGTTTTAAATTGAACAAACATGGACAATATCATAGGTATTTAAATATATACCAAAGAAATAGCAGTAAACAACATCAATTTAATCACCGTCAATGAAAGAATATAAATTCTGTTGTCATGACAACTGTAATTACCTTGATGTTTGTGAACCACATGTGGTTCTCATGTATTGTTCGCATGTAGAGAGCATGTTTGTAGCCAATGTAAAGGCACACCAAAATTCCAAGCCCATTGATGATTAATTGTTGAAGGGGTATCCCCATCACAGCAAAACTGTCCTTCCCAGACTGAGAGGAACCAAGACCTTTTGCATAGCCATTCCGAGACCCTCCTGTCTTGTGACGAGGGGGACGGCGTCTTCGAAGTTCTGTCATCACTTTAAAATCACAACAAATTTACTTTCTTGTGTTACTCATCACTTTATAAAAATGACAAATTTTCCTTTTTGATATTGTCACTAACTTGCATGCTGTGTATTTAGATGTTGAATACTTGTGCTTAAAATGAAAAAGAAACAGTACTCCAAACCATTTCCTGTTAATTAGAGCCTACACCTTTAGAGGTTATTAATTAACACATCGGTGCTGGTGACAAGGCTTAAGCTGTAACACAAGCTCAATTGTAGCAGCCCATCACTTAATTCCTAGACATCAGCTTGATCCTTTAGACCTATACCTTATAAGGAGAAAGTGTCAAATATATCCTCATCAAACCACCATATCACATCTCTGGCAGTCCCCGGTCTGACAGCAAGGCTCGTATTTGTTCTCCAATACGTGTTTGGAATTTGTCCTTTGATGGAATGCCATCCCTTAATGGCTACACTGATAGACCAATCATTTCTCTGTGATGGAGTTGGGTAGCAAAAAATCACAAAATATTCCAATGCTTGACCGTATGTTCCCCTTTCACTCCTGGATGGGCACTACACATTAATGTAAAAGCAAGCATGCGTGTACCAGAACGGAGGACCTAGTACGATCTCTTGGTCTGTAATGGTAATACATAGGGCCAGCACTGCTCTATGCATGATGCTCCTGGTCCTGA